AACATCAGATCATTTAAAAACACTTATCATCTTATCATGAATCGATGAGATAGAAAAAAAATACCAAAATCCGTTCGTTATCTTGATCTTCCTTACATATCAGGTACTCAATGGAAATCACTATTTTCATGAGATTCGAATAATTATAAAATTACCAGTACGACTCGATAAAAATCCCATCCGGATTCTGTCAACTCTATTAATTAACTCATAAAAATGAATAAATAATTAATATTCCACAAAATTCATTTTAAAAGAACTGAATAATCGGTCATTGCATTTTGTTATATTCCACCTATTTACAATTGCGTGGAAATTACCTTTTGGTCAGTGAGAGTAAATTGGATAGACAATGTTTTTTTCAAAAATTCATCATAAAAGAATGAATCGAACTTGAAGTAGCTAAATTGGTTCTCGTAATTATAACTCGCGATGAGATTCTAACCAGTCTATCAGTGGTAAAGTTGGATGTCCTTTCTGAACAAATGGATAGAGATGATTTAGAATGGCGTAGTAATGAAAACCCGCCGCAACTGTCACGAATATATGCCAAATAGCATGAGCACAAGGTATTCTTCCATCTGATTTGAAGAATATGAGGCCAGCTATATAGATAAATCCCCCAGTCTTGAGTTCTCTTATATTGTCGAATTTATTCACAGTAATGACAGCAATGCTGGGACTGATTCCCATAATCAGATAGAAAATAGTCTCGAGCATTTTGTATCTCTCGTGAAACATCTGTTGATACAATATCCCAATAATCGCCATAATCCACACTAAATATCGCATTGTGGGAACAATTTCATTGTCGGGAAAGTCCTCGACCATCAGCCAAGGAAAATAGGTAGCAGCAATGAACACATAAATCATAGCACGGTCGCATCGATGAAGAACGTCTTTCCAGTCCCTAAAAAATATCATCAAACGTTATTGAACCTCTCCTTGGATCCCTAGATGAACGAAAAATCGAAAATCTGTAGCGAAGATCGCCATTAATTTTTATTATCCTAATTCTGTAATTACGTATAGTATCGTATAATATCTAATTCTGTAATTACGTCGCTAACGAGTTGCATTACATGTCAAATGAATTAATATTTCACCTTCGATCGCAGTAATGTACACAATGGAATGAAGTAGATACTAAGAACAGAAGGAGCAAGGCGATTCCATAAACCAATGCAGAAATCAGTTGGGTACACGTGATAGATCGCCTGAGCAATTCAATACTCCCCAGTAATGCTGGTACAATCCAAATTCCATGGGTCATTATATTGGCACAATGTTCAATATATGTAGGTGCATATGCTTCATTCGGAGAGGCGCGTGGATTCATCCACTTTATCCTAATAAAAATCAAAAAGACATCTGTCAAAGATATTTCCCCCTTATCTCTCCCCACAAAATTTCATGTTCCCATATTCCATTCAAATATTCACCAAATCATTTACTTGTTGATAATTAAAAAAAAAACTTAATCTAAAAACTTTGAAAAAAACCAGAGCATTATTTCTGTGGTACTATTAACAAAATAATCTTCGTTTAATCGGACTCTTGGAAATCCCAAGCTGAAAGAGCAAATTGAATAAAAACTTTCTCTGTTGTGTTACGACTATTATAAACTCGATTCCTCTATAATTCAATAACGACATGATGTCAAGTGACAATATTCACCATTGTATTTAAACCAGCCTTATATACTTCATACTTTCTTCGTAAGGTTTCCCCTGCACTGACTGATGATTGGAGAATAAAAATAGAACAAATTGACTAAAAATGTTGATGTAATAAACTGATAAATACTCACTCTTTGAGACCCCGCAGCTTCTCCATAGGTGTCATGATGGATTTCACCAGACAAGGTCCATCCATTATTGCCACTGATGAATATCAGAGTGAATTCAAATTGTACCCAACAATATCTATGTCCCTACTATCATGAGACCTATTTCAACTCTTTATCTCGACAGTCCGTTACTTCATTGGCTCAATTTTTTAACCCCTTACCCTTCACCACTCAACACCGAGATCCTCCTCTCATCTATGAATAAATATTTTATCCATTCATCTTCATATCTTTTGCCCTTTCACATGAATTAAGTATTACCAATCGAGATCAAAGTGCTGAGTTAGGTGAAAATAATTGGGAGGATGGAATCATTCTCTGATAAGAGCAAGACCTTGACAGCATCCACATGCTCTCCATCCGTTATCTGAAAAAAAAGTATTCCATATTATTGATTACGCGATAGAAAACAGGAAATAAAGGTCAAAATCTAGGGGAACCCGGGGGATTACGTGATTAGAGAATGATAATTCAATTTTTAAGTGAATGAATGGAGAATGCTGATAGTTACCTATTGTTCTTCATTTTTTTTGTTAATATCCAATTTTTCAGTGGGACTCATTAGAATTCTAAATGATTATCTAGGACCGTTGGATTTTGAGTAACGCAATGACCATTGATGGAGTACACCTGATCTCCTTTATGTCAAAGCGAAAACTGACGGGAGCAGACGCTCGTCATATATCTTATACAAATAAAGTTATGTATATACAATTGCTCTTTTCCCCCTTTTTTCTCTCAAGCAACTGTCATTCAAGAATGCGATCTCTGTACCATCTATCGAGTGCA